ACACGAATTATATAAATTCTCTCTAAATATATAATATAACTTAATTCTAACTTATAAAAGTTCTATATATTTTGCTTTCTATAAATACATATATTCTTTAAATGTACTTTTTATATTTTTTACTATGATTTTGAGATGAGTATATTTAGAAAAATCTGACTATATAACTTTTATAAATAGTTTATAAACTAATAAAATATTAATAATATATTTTATTAAATTAATTCAATATGATTTTATAATTAAAATAAAAGATTATTAATATTCTAACAAATATAATTTTACAATTAAAGTGAGAAATTATAAATAAATAATATAAAACTATAAATTAAATTAAATTAAAATAATAAAAGAAATTAAGTTAACATTATATATGTTTATTGATTTTTTCAAAAGAGCTTAAATACATATTTCTTTTATAAATATCATATTAATTAAAATGATCATTATAATAATTATTAGAATGATTATTAAAATAATTATTTTAATAATTAATTTAATAATTATTGAAATAATTGTTGAAATAATTATTTGAATAATCATTAATTAATTAATTATCCAATAAAATATTATCCAATAAAATAAATAAATATAATTGTCTAATAAGAATTTGATATTTTTAATTACTAAGTCTGACTTATAATAGTATTCACTTTTTTAATAGAATATATACATTTCTATACTATATTATCGAAAATTAAAAAAAATAACATTGTTTCTTTATATTAGTTTATTTTTTATTTTTATACTAAAATAAAGATGATAATCTATATATTCTTCTAGAATTTTTTGTTCACTTGTAAATGTGAAAAAATTGCAATTTAATTATAAAAAATTTTTTTCTCACATTTACAAGTAAATAAAAATTCTATAAAATTCTAGAATATTTTAGAAGAATATATATCAAAAATATAGATTATCATCTTTATTTTAGTATAAAAATAAAAAATATTTATTAATAAAATAATAAATTTTAATATAAAAAACAATGTCAATTTTACTATGTTTTACTATTTTTTTAATTTCTAATAATATAGTATAGAAGTGTGTAAATAAAAATCTATAAATAATACTTAAAAATAATATTAATTTCAAAATCTTTCAAAATTTATACTTATATAATTAAAAAATTAATATTAAAGATTAGTTTATTATTTGAATTTGAGTTAAATATAAATTTATATCTAAATTTGCTTTTTTAATATTTTTAATAGTATTTTAAACTAATTTTGATATTTATTTTCATATTTTTTGTTTTTTTGTACTAATTAAATAACATTATCTAATAATATATTCACAGATTAGAAAATTGATAAATATTAACAAATATATAATAAAAATATAAATAAAACTTTTAGTATTTATCAAAATTATAAATTTATTTTGTTTATTTGATCTCTTATCTTAATTATAAAGTTATTTTAATATAAGTTTTATTATTTTATTTTTATTTATTTTTTTAACTATTCTTATTAAATATAGTAAATTTTTGAAAATTTATTAATTTTCTTATTTATTTTATAAATTTTTTATTTTTTGTTTATTTATTTATATTAGAAATATATAATAAAAATTAGATAATTATTAATTTAACTTTTATCATATTTTTTTATAAAAAGAATAATTATTTCATTTTTATTTCATTAATTTATTTTTATTTATTTATTATTTTGAATGATTACTTTTTTTTATTATTATCTTTTATATATATTTTAAATAAATAGAAACTATTATTATAATTAATTTTCTGTCTTAATTTATTAAAATATTAGTTCAATATTACTTAAATTTTGTAATAAATATTCTTTATCATATATATAGTTTAAATTTTCTTATTCTTAATTTTATTTTAATTGTTATAGCTCTATCAAAGAATCTTTATTATAATATCTATATATAAAATAAGATTCTATTCTTATTTTTCACTTTTAAATTTATTATTTCTTAAATTAATAATAATTATTATAATTGATTAAGACTATATAATTGAGTAATAAAGTCTTCAAATATTTTATAAAAAGCATAAAGAACTAAATTTTAATACATATTAATTTGTATTCTTATATTTTTATATTTATTTTATTATCTTATATTTTAATTTATAAAGTAAAATTCTTAATAAAGAAAATTTGTTATAATATAAATATTTAGTTTTTATTTTATTGGTTAATTTATATTATAAATTTAATTGAATAATATTTTATTATATTTTATTAATTTTATTATTATAATTTGATATTTTATATTGATTAATTTATATTATAAATTTAATTAAATAATAATTTATTATATTTTATTAGTTAATTTTATTATTATAATTTGATATTTTATAAAGATAATTATTATAAATTATTATTCAAGTAATCATTTTAAATGATTATATCAAATAATCATTTCAAATGATCACTTCTTATTTATTAATTATTTATAAATATTATATATATTTTAACTAATTAAAAATAAATTCAATAATTTTTAGAATTTTAAAAATAATTTATAATAATTAAAAATAATAAATTAATAATAAATTTGTTTATTGTTAAAATTTTATATTTATTATTATATTATAATTTTATAATAATATTTATTATATAATATTTCTTAATAAATACTTTCAATATAAATTTTAGATTTTGTTCTAGCAGATCACATTATGAATATACTATTATTATTATTCTAAACTTGTTATAATGATTAAAATATTATATTTAATTATACTATTTATATTCTTTCAATTATTACTATTAATATACATTATTATAATTATCCTAAATAAATAATTCATTATAATATTATAGATTTTTTTTCATATAACTCTATAATACTCTAGAAGAATAACAATATATTATTTTTAATTGATTAAATTTCTTTATATAAAAATATATTATTATTTTTTTATAATATTTATATATTTTATATTTTACTTTATATAAAAATAATCTTTCTTCAAAAATTTAATAATAGTGCAATATTGAATAATTATAAATTATTTGTATTATATAAGTATAAAAATTGTTTATTAATAAAATTATTTTATATAATCAAATTTTTATATAGTTACATATTCAAAATATAAAAAATTATAATTATAAGGAATTATAATTATATAAAGACCAATTATTTTACAATTTATAATGAGTTAATAACTAAAAAATATGATTATATATAATTTTTAAATATATAAAAGATAATTATAAATAGGTTAAAATATATATAACTTTTATTTAATCAAATTAATTATATCTAATTTTATAAATATTCTAAAATATCTAAAATAATATTAATGCTAATCCAAAATAATTTAATTAATTTTTTGCTTAACTATAATATAATTTTAATTTACTTTTCTTTATTTTATTAATAATTTTAATAAGGATAAATAAATAAATTTATTATATTAATATTGATTAAATATATATATCATTATTTTTATATTAATTAATATTTTATATTAAAACTTATTGAACTAAACAATAAAAATCTTTGACTAATATTAAATTATTTTTTCAAACAGATTTAAAAATCTTCTTAAATATTTAAAAATATTTGTGTTAAATATAATTTTAATAAAATATTTTTGATAATGATTTATTAAAATAGATATATAATGATAAATATTATTAAAATTAATATTAAAATAGAAAAATATATATAATATTTCAAAAAATAATATTTAATTTAAAATTATATAATAAATATATATAAAAAACTTTTATTTATTTTATAAATAAAATAATTTTTTAATTTAAAGTAATATAAGTCCTATTTATTTTTTTAAAAATATAATTAATTAAATTTAAAATAATATAAAATTTTAGAAATATATATATATAATATAAAATTTTCAAATTTCTATATATAAGTATAAAAAAATATTTTTAATTTTTAATCAAAATAGTTCTTGTATTTAAGTTATTATATACAGTTAACTCTGATTATAACGAACCTCTCGGGCTGGAACATTTGGTTCGTTATAGAGTGAGTTCGTTATGGCCAATGCTCTCTTTATACCGAACAGTTCATTATATAAAGCGGACCAATAGAATCAAATACATGTGATCGTGATTACTAAATATATTTAGTTAATGATCTAATATTTATTGATGATAATTATGTAATACTCTAACGCAACGAAATCCTCTAAGAATCGATGACAATGACAATGAATTGACAATGACAGAAATATATAATAAAATGCTCTAGAAATTGATAATGACAACGAAATACTCTCGAAATCGACGGCAACAATGAATCATTCTAGAAACTGACAAAATAAAAAGGTTTATATTTATTTTCATTCTTATTTATTATTTATTTAAAAAAACATCTTTACTTTGGATTTCTATTCTGAAAATAATGAAGATCAACTTGCTTAAGGTTATTTATAACCATCAACTTAACTCGTTTATGTAGTCTTCTTAAAATTTTTACCTCCTCATTGATTTCACCAAATTCTGATCCTTGTTTATATAAAAATTGTAATACTTGGTTTACGGACTTTCTGCTTCATTACAACTTACTTTTTCTACTTGTTCATCAACAGATTTCTCCTCTTCCTTATCTTCATCTGCTATTGTCATCAATATTTCCTCATCAGTAAGCCCATGCTCAACTTTACTATCATCAATGCTGATATATTCATGCGCTGTAAGATAGTTGTTTGCTGGTAGGTGATTAATCAATTCTTGAAGTTTTTGTTCTTCATTCATACTGCTAAAATAAAGTTAGATTAATTTAATATATTTTCTTTAAGATAAAAAACTGTTTTTATGATAAAAACATACCTATCTGAAATTGAATTCCAAACATCATGCTCTGAAAGTTCAGTAAAGTTTTCTATTTCTTCTGGTGAGAGGATGCCAGTTTTTTTCCAGCAGTTTTTAATCATTTGTGATGATACCATAGATTATGCTTCCGATGCATTAAGTAATGCATGATAGATATTATACTTCGCGAGTTCTTGTACTATACCATTTTGGACATCGTCATAAGCATTGATTCAGTTTTGAATAAATAGATGCTTATATTGACACTTGAATGAATGAATAATTCCAGCATTACAAGGTTAGAGAATCGTAGTTGTATTTGGAGGAAGAAATTTAACTTGCACACTGTTTAATCTTTCTGCAGTTTCATCAAGAATGATATATACTGGTGCATTGTCAACTAAAAGTAAGATTTTTCAATTGTTTCATTTCATTTGATCATTGAGTTTGAGAAAAATATCATTGAAGATACTAACTTGTATCCATGACTTTTTGTTCTAATAATAATAAACAGGAAGATTCTTATAATTAAGATTTCACATTGGGCGTGGTGTTTTGTATATGTGAATAAAGATAAGATTTATTTTTTCAGTTCCAATTGCATTCGTAGCACAAAGTATTGATACACTGTTACAGTGATTCTGGATAGTGGGTTTCACTGAGAATTACTATAAGCATATAATGTTGGGAGAGGGGCGATTAAACTTAAATAAAGAGAATGAATTATAAATATTAGCAAAGGTTTCTAAGACCTGTGCCAATATCTACGGATATT